AGAAACAAATGTCACAAAGTCAGCTCGTAAGTTGAATAGCGACGAAGGGCCTATCACCTTCGAAGTCAGACCCAATCCAGAATTAATTATCAAATCCGTCTTAGAGCACTTCCCATACTTGAAATTTTGAAATAGTTTCAGGGGGATTGATAATTATGATTTTACAACACCTCAGCCGTGGAGCTCGCCGTGTTCTATTTGCAATGGAAAACATGGGAATTATGGATTACATGGCTCATGGTACTGTAAAAATGGGAATCAGCTCCCTTATAATCCTGAATTAGCGAAGTTGTATTCTCAAGATAAGTTGAAATATTGTCTTACCTGCAACACTTCAAGCAATAAACTTAAGTTCGCAATTGTAACATAGTCTGGTTATGTGGGCCGATCACCTGAAATGCGCAGTACGATATCGGATAAATTCTTGCCGATTTGATGTCATTGGTTCATGTGAATTCTATGCGCAGTAATACGTCATCCGCGTTTTCTATTTATGTGACTCGTATCAATTTCGCGAATCAAATGATTATCATTTTTTTTTGATACCATATGTCGAAAGAAAAATACTCTGATTATTTCGATGAATATCCTGCTGATAGTTGGTCCTACTCAAGCTTTATACGCTACGTTTTTAACAAAAGGTTGCTTCCATCTAACCCTATAAGAGTTTATAACCATCAGTACAAGAAGTGTTTAGAAGTGATCGAACAAAAATACAGCCCTTTAACAAGGGAAAACTCGAAGGCAACCTTATTAAAGAATTCGTTTAAGGTTAGTAACTTTTACATGCAGAGAAGCCCATTTGTTGACAGCATAACTTGGCTTTGAGTCAGGTCAATACTAAACAGGGTGCTATACGCTCCACCTTGGGTTTCCTTGGCATGTTGTCATCTGTTGTGCTTTATTAAACCAAGCATCGATACTAAACAGGGTGTTATACGCTCCACCCTGGGTTTCCTCGTCGCACGATAGATTTTTTATATATGTTTTTTTTTATTCGGACCGTTAACCAATCACATACTTTATGTTACTTTTTTTGAGCTTGACAAAAAAATGGAAGAAGAATGGTTATCCAGTCTTAATAATTTAGCCAAAAATGAAGAAACCGAAGAGGTGAGCCCCCAGGAATATGTCATCAACTTTCTGGTATTCCACTCTAACGATATCAACTATTTGTATAGTTCGAATATCATGCGTCGCTAAACAAAAATGTAAGGGAGGAGAAGATAATATATTCCAACCACCTGCTAGAATCACGTAAATCCAAGCACAAAATCAACATAGAGGAAGAGACGAGAACCACCTCAACTGATCCGATAATAGATACAAAAGACGAAGACGAAGACGTATTTAATCAACCGCCATCGAAAAGAGTCAAGAATAATGATCCCGAAAAACAACGAACTCCAAAACGACAAAAATATCTTCCAGAAACTAGTGGAGAGGTATGGTATCCTATTTTCAATGTATACTACAACAAGCCATCACGCGCAATAAATTAACTTTTTCTTAGATCTGTAACAAAAGTATTAAAGAATCGGAAAGCAATTCACCAAATCACGACGAGTTTGATACATCTGATACAGTTGACGATAACGATGACGACTCTGAATATGTTGAATCTTCGTCCTGTGAAGAAACAAAGGTTACAAAGTCAGCTCGTAAGTTGAATAGTGACGAAGAAAGTATTAAAGAACCAGAGAGCAATTCACCACTTCACGACGAGTTTGTGAAAGAGATATATAATACCGAAGAAGATTATTCTGATGAATCCGTTAATGACAATAATGACGATGACCCTAATGACCCTTATTATGTTTATAGCCCGTCTTCATCCTATGAAGAAACAAATGTCACAAAGTCAGCTCGTAAGTTGAATAGCGACGAAGAAACACCATCTGTATCGCCAGCCAAACGGGTGAGATTATGAGACCTTTAAATTACTTATTGATAGCAAGTCATTTACTAACATACATGTATTCAGAACAAATTAAATGAAGATACAATTCTAGATGTTGTATCTGATTTAAATGAGGTTAGACAATAAACAGTAATTGAGCAAGTTTTTGCCTTTTTTTCAAACATTTTTTCAAAAGTTAATTTAACCATTTCTTAGAATGCGAGTTTTAATTACGGACTCAGAAATTATGAAGAGGGAATAATTATTGATCCTGAATTGCCTGAATTGGCCCTTCAAGAAACGGATGAGGAATCAGTACCAGCATCTGAGCGCCTCTTTGATAAGGATACTTGGAAAAAATGGAAACTAGAATCTGGTACAATCGTGGCTGACCTTTTGGATCGATTTGCCCGTAAAAAAGGACATCCTCTTAGGTAGATTGTGGATTATTAAGATTATTAACTAGTATTTGTGACTGTGCCAATTCTAATTTTTTAATTTTAGACCTGAAGCTTGGAGAATCGTTCGGTGTGGTTATAAAATTGCGAAACCGAAATGGTGTAGCAGTGAAGATTATTTGGAAATTCAAAGATATACAAGACGTGCAACTATTTCTAATCGTACTGAAACGATATCTAGGTTTCAAAGACAAGTATGTCTTTCTTTTTATGCTAATTCTTTACTTTATTCTTGAAGAATTCTAAAACTTACACTTTTGCAATAGAAGTCACTTGAATCCTTAGGACAAAGCATAGAGGAAATTCGACTTCTGAATAATATTCATAAAACAATTAAAGATGAAGCTGTTAGAAAACTTCTCTTGGAGGAGCTCAAAATAACTTGCGTGATGTTTCCTCTGCAAGATGCTTTCACAAGTTTTT